ACTTCATTAATTCAAACTAATTCTTTATCCATTTTTCAAATAAATTCTTGTATAACATTTAATCCTCAATATGTGAAAGGTTCCCAAATCTCTCCAGTATTAATCCAATGAATTGAATAATAAAAGTTACTAGGTACTTACTCTTCAAGTTTACATATACTTCCACCATACAACTCATCATATTTTTTATTTTTTAACTCAAAATTAGCATATATTATACAAGAAATATATATTATCCTTATATAGTGTTTGAATTTTTTGATATCATTTTTATCCTTAGTAAGTATATCTATTTTTTATGAAGTTTCTCCCAATCTATAACAGTGATCTTGATGATATGCCAATGATTTTTCTGATAGAAAGTTTTGAAAGTATTAATTGCAAAGATGTTTTTTATCATTATGCTTAGAATCTTTGTGTACTAGTCCATTCAGATTTTTAATCCATAAGAAATGATTCCTTTGACCATATTTACCGATATCTTCAAATTTATTAATATCAGTAAGAGCCATAAGATAGATAATATATAATCTTTTTATCATGCATTCATTTGATCCTTAATGTTCACAACCTACAATTTGACATGAATTAGGTATAAAGAAATTTTACTGGCAATTACAGATTTGAGAGTAGCAGTTTCCTTTTTCCATTTCCATATATTAATTGAAATATCAAGATTTTGAACTTCAATCTTTTGAAAGGTTCTAGGATAAATGGATATTGGTATTGAAATACTGTTCAAATTAACTATATTCAGATATGGTAAGAGAATAAAAAGACATTATAAATTTGTGGTTATACCTTCATTGCTTACAAAGTATATATCTAAAGCATATTGTAAACACTTGTCATCTTCTAATTTAGAGTTATCTGGGTTAATTGTATATTTAATATTGATAAGTCTTTTGGATATTGATTTGTAAGATCCTTTAACAGCTCTTTTAAATATATAAACATTAATATATATTATTTCTATTTGAATTAATGTCAATTCAAATCCATTGTTTAAAAACTCTTTGATTTTTGTGTCTATTTCTCCAGCTGATAATGTTATATGTTCATTTATATCTTGTTCTGAAAGAATAGCTCACATCCTTCCAGGATGATATTTTTAAACATAAAATGGAACTCACATCCTTCCAGGATGATATTTTTGAACATAAAATGGAATCTCTACTTTATAATCACCTTTATCTTTCTTTTCCATTTTTATATAATTACAATATACCACTAATGATAATTTTATCTGGTCTTTTCTTTGGAGTTCTGATTTAAGTACATTTGTAATTTGTTCTCGAGCTGAAGCCATAAGGTGGGACATGTATGGAACTTTTATATATTTTTTAGAATCACCTATAAGAATATTAAAAGTATATGCTAAATTTTCATATAATGAAACAATTGCTTACCATTTGTTTAATGAAGATAGACTTAAAAGTGATCTGTTTGAATCTTCAACTTTGACTTCCTCAAAGATAATATCTCCTGATAGTATTGGATATTAAGTGACAAATCTTCTTTTTATATATTTTTTTGAAACAAAATTTTTGTTCTTTGCCTTATTTGCTAAGAAAATATTTCCTAATTCAGACTAGATTTCTTCAATTTCTGGTTCTTTTATTAACCCCAATACAATAAAATAATTGATTTCCTCTTAAGTGACATTTGGTTCATTATTAGGATTTGATAACTTGCCTTCTCTATGTGCTGAGTTATGAGACCTGAACTAGCTTTTGGATCAATCTATAGAATTTGATTGGGTAATTGCGATGATGAAGATTTTGTTAATATATGAGATGCTATTGTTCTGATGTTATCTTTAATCTCATTTAACTTATCCAAATCTGAACTAATATATGTAACTATACCTCTGTTTTCACTTCTTCTCTTTACAGTATATCTTCTGATTCATTCTCTTTCTTGCTATACTTCTGGATCATTTCGTAAAAGGGATAAGAATATATTTTCTATATAACTTTTTAGATTTTTTTCTCTTCTACGTAACCATTTTCAATCTTGTTTCATATAGGTAACTTTATCTGATTGATCTGCAAAACAAGTAGCTCATTCTTTAATACTTTCATATGGATATTTATTGATTGTTAACCTGATAGATTATGGAGTATTATCTATTTTCTGTTTGTTAGCACGTGGTGTTAGGATTGACAAAGAAGATGGGACAGGTTTTAGATCGATTTGTGAAATTGGTTCAAGTATTTCAGGAGAATAAACTACTTTGGAAGCATATATTCTAAAAGTAGTTAGAATAGGTAATAAAATAGAATATTTATATTTTCTATTTAAGTGTATATTATAATCTTGGATCTTTTTGAAATCATTTTTTTCACACTTGGGATATGGTAGTATCATTATGAATATAGGTGTTGGTAATCTGTTATTTGTATTAATATACTAGATCTTTTGTTTAAATTAAAATTATTCATATTTATATTTTATATACCATGCTAGATAATTATACTTGTAATTATTTGCATAACTCTGGTGAAGTTTGTAGATGAGGTTGTCAACGTCCTGAAGGTTATTTTGATTATTGAAAGTCTAAAAAATATGTTCATTGTAAAGTTTATGATAAGCCTACTAATTCTGAACTTGAATTATGTAGAGCTCATGTTAAAGGGTATTATGTTATGAAATATTTATATAGATAGAATTCTGAATTATGTTATTGAAAAATTTATATCAATTATGGTTAGAGTATAGAAAAATTTATATCAAAGAAGTGTGATATCAAAAAATTTATACCAGTTGTGATTAGAGTATAGAAAAATTTACATCAAAGAAGTATGATATCAAAAAAATTTACACCAGTTGTGATTAAGGTATAGAAAAATTTATACTAAATAGTATATGATATCAAAAAATTTATATTCAGGTATATAAATTTTTGTGTTAGAAAAGTAGTGAAGAATTAGTTTTATAATGAATTCTACTATAACAAATAATTTTAATATGTAATTTAAACTTGTCAAGTTGGAAAAAAATCAAGATCAATATTTATTTTCATTCATATCTTTACTGTGATTTTTTTTTTTTTAATAACAAGTTGTATATCATAAATAATTGATATCCTTTTTAATATGAATTTGAGTAATTAAATGTATTCTAGATATATAAAAAAATTAATATACATTAATATACTAAATGATATTTTTGAGGTGTGAAATATAGCAAATTGACTAGTGCTGTGTCAGAATATCCATTTTTACTTTATTTATTATATATAGACAACTTAATTAATTATTATATCTACTATAATAAATTTCATTTAATATTTATATGATTAATAAATATCAAATTGATAAATTGTAAATTTTTTAATATAAATTTTTAATTGAAAATTATTATATAATTATTAAATAATTATAAATATTATTGACTTGTAGAATAATTACAAACTTGTAAAATAATTGTAAACTTATAAATTAATTATGAATTAATTACAAATTTGTAAAATAATTATGAACTTGTAAAATAATTGTGGACTTGTGAATAATTACAAATTATAATAATTACAAATTTTTTACTATTGAAATTTTTAATAATTATAATATAAGTGATAATATCATAATTTACAATTCGTAATTACAGATATCATCTTTAATTACTTATTTATATATTGTGCAGATCTTAAATTTTGATCTGTTTTATAATAACAAGTTATATATATTTTTAAAATTAATTTTTAATTTTGAAATATTTTATTTTTTTGAAATTTTTAAAATATTTATTTTATATATAAAAATAAAAAAAAATTTGAATGATTAAAAAATTTCAAATTTTAAATAAAATAATTTCATCTTTTAAATAAACTATTTTAACTTTTAAATTTTAAAATATTTCAACTTACTATAATAAATTATTTTTATGTAAATATAAGTTATTTTTATTAATTTAATTATTAATAATATAATATTTAATAAGTATTTCAATTGTAAGATAATTTTTATAAATTATTTTTTTTTTAAAAATTATAAAAAATAATAAACTATTATAAATCTAAAGTAATTTTATTTTAAATTATATAATTATATATTCTTTATTTAAAATTGTTATTATAAATTAAACAAATATTTTTTTAAATTTTTATTTTTAATATTTTATCTAAGTTATATATCAAAATCAAAACTTATATATATTAAAAATAAAATTTTAGTATCATTTTATTTGTTTATTATAATGTTTTTTATTATACTTTAAACAAAAATTAAAATTATTTTTAATTTATAAATATTAAAATTATAAAGTTATTATTAAAATAAATTTGATATCTTTTTATAATTGTAGCAAGTAGTAGGTTACAGGCATGTCTCTTCAGGTTAATCTGAGTCTCATTTTTAACTAATAATTATTAGAATAGGTATTCTATATATATAGGAAATTTTCTCTTGTTCTAATTAATAAAAATTTGAGACAAGATCTCACTAGAACAAAAAAAAAATCTTTTTATAACTGTATTTACTATTGTGCATTAATACTATTGATTATTATATTTACTATGTATATATTATTATTACTATTATATACTGTAACTGATAATAATGATAATTGGCAAAGGTATTGTTTTTGATATATTTATGGTTATTTTTTGATATATCAAATTTCATGTGACAATATATTATTTTTTTTGATGCATCTATAAATAAAACAATTATAAACATATCAAAAAAATAACCATTTTTGTCACACGTATTTGATGTATCAAAAAAATAACCATAGGTGTCTCAAAAACGATACTTTAGCTGATAATTATGTTACTGTATCATGTGAAAACGTGACCGATTCTGAGAATTCACGTGACTATTGCTATTCTATTGTAGATCTCTTTTGACTATCTATTCTGTTTTTATTATAATCCTTTATTTCATCATTGCAGATATTAACTACTACGTCACGAGTATCTGCATACTGCGTAACTATACCTTGGTGATTCCATCCAGTAACAATCTAAGGTCAAAGAATTAGGAGTCCAAAAGTTCAAAATGAAGCCTATACTTCCAATACATGTAGTTGGTGTGGAAATGTTCAAAATATTGGTGGATCTGAGGTGTACAACTGTCAGAATTGTAAGCTGTAATGATCAAGATGAAAATGGAATCTCTCTTCGGGCGTTGCTTGATGGAGTCTTGATTTTCTCCGGAGATCATGCAGGAAATAGTGGTCATACTTAGCAATGCTTAGTATGCCTATTATTGATGTATTACAACCCATCCGGAGTGTATAATAATACAATTCCATTTTTCATATTCGATTGATTTATATTATTTAATAATTTATAGCAGTTTGCTATCTTGAAAAGTAACAGAATTCCGATATCCATAAAATTCGAATTTTATTAAAAAATATCAACCTCAATTATAAAATGAGCGTCAACGCTAGTAACTCAGTTGAAAATAAGAAAGTTACTTTGAAAAGTTGTGACGATGTTGAATTCAAAGTCGACATACCTGTTGCTAGTCGCTCCATCTTGCTCAAAAATATGATTGAAGGTATGTGTCGGTTGTTTTATTATGCATTTTATGAAATATTTAAAAATGTAAAAATTTCAAAGAAACGATTACTTTCACGTGGTTATGAAAACGTTAGATCTGTCTAAGACGAAAGTAATTTATCAATTTTCGCGTTTAATGTAAAAATCTAACGCGTTTATGTACATTATTAAGATGTCGGGGAAACAGATCAGTCAATCCCACTCCCTAACGTCAACGAAAAAGTTTTAAAAAAGGTACCGAATATTTTAATACGACAAATAAATATTGTAAATATGTAAATGCTTTAGAAACAACATAAATTATTTGAGAATTAAATTTATTCCATGTCAATAGGTGCTTGAATGGTGTGAACATCACGTCAATGACCCGCAACCTACTAATGATGATGATGATTCTCGTAGAAGAAATACCGAAATTGATGATTGGGACCAAAGATTTTTAAATGTTGAGCAAGATATGCTCTTTGAAATCATTCTGGTTAGTATTTTTTTATATTTCATTTTTATTTTTATTTTTTATTTTTTATTTTTATTTTTTTATTTTTATTTTTATTTTTTTATTTTTATTTATTTTTCATTTTACTGATTTGTTTTTTTATTTTTTTTTTAAATATTTAGGCCGCAAACTACTTAGATATCAAACCATTATTGTAAAGGATTTAAAGATTTATTCATCTAATTTCTTCATTTGCGTTCAATTAAAATTTCTAAATGTGTTTATTCTTTTAACAGGGATATTGGTTGTAAAACAGTTGCAAACATGATCAAGGGCAAATCTCCGGAAGAAATCCGTTCTACATTCAATATAGTTAATGATTTTACTCCCGAAGAGGAGGAGCAAATTCGCAAGGAAAACGAATGGGCCGAAGACCGATAAGTTCATCAATGAATGCATGGAATAGAATAAATTATATTTTCCATTACGTTGGATTATCAATATTATTTCAAATTGTAGATAAATACTGGCAGGCAAGCTTGCAGTATTTCTCTGACTTTACAATAATCATAATAAATATAACAAACTACAAATCCCAAAAGCTTTAAAGTGAATGATATAAACTGTACTGTACGATCAGGTGAACTGTACTGATGTTTTATTTAACAATGTCATGTGACATCAAATTCGTCATAGCACAGCACGAAGATTTTCTATCGATCTAAACGATAGTAAAAATGATTTCTATCAAATACTTTTCAACGTGTTTTGTAAAATTTTAACAAAATCAAAAGTTTATGAAAATAAATAATAAGTTTTTATTTTGATTAAAAATAAATTGACATATTCTGAATAATGATTTTTAGTATCCAAAAATTTTACTTTAATAAATATTTTAATTTTTATACAGATTACAATATTATTTATTGGGTTTTGTCTTTTGTTGATAATTTTGTGAATTATTTTATTCAAAATACTTTAAAATACAAAATCAACTTGTCAAATTATTATTTTTTTTTATTTACTTACATTGGTCAAATGAATAAAATTCTTGGTACAAATAGATGATATACAAATATTTGTTATTGTAAAAATGTAACTTAGACTAACTCTAAAAAGAGAAATGCCTACACCTATCACTTGACAACAACAGCATGTAAAGTCCTGCCAAACAACCTATTTTATATATCTCAGTTCAGTAACTATTATCCTGGTGTTAACTAAATTTATACAAATATTTTAATATCTATAAATCTTTATTTTTATAATTATTATTATTGTTAAAGTTATTACTATTACTGCTTTAATATTGATGTTAGGTGAAGATATTAATATTTTTTTCATTTTTCTTTCTGTTTTTTTTAATACCATTATTAAATTTCCATGCTTCTTTAATAATACATATAAAAATAGCTTTTTTAATATTTGATAGAAGTTTTTTTATCTTGTAACAATATATATGAAAATAATTATAATAAATTAACTAAACACTTTTATATAAAAGAATGTCATTTAATTCATAACAAGAAATCTTTTTATACAATTAAAAATTGAACAAAAATATAAGCATTTAATATTATATTATATAAAACCTAATAAAATATTTCTAATGTACTATATAATGTAATATCAAAAATAAAATTTAATACAGTACATACAATTTAGTTCTGACAAATAATTTTTTAAGTAGCTAATATTCAATTGCTGATCTTTTATCACATGAGCCAGAAATTTGCAATATTATTGACTTTCATTTGTTCACATGATATATCAATGCAAAAATACAAATAACTTGGTTATTTTTGTTTATATAAATAAAAAATAACTTAAATTAGACTATAATAGTCTCAGGTATATGGCCTGATGACAAAAGTTGGCTACCATTGTTATGTGATCTGATGACAAAAGTTAGCTACCATCATTATGTGACCTGACAACAAAAGTTGGTCATATGTAAACTATTATATATCAAGATGACAATGTATTCAGTCATATATCATCATTTGCAAGTTTGATATGAGAGTTATGCCTGAACTAAAACATAGCACGGCCAAAGTTGAAACACGTAGTGCTGAAATAGTATTTGTAATCTTTTACATAATGCACTCAAATACTGATTAAGAATGAGACATGTAATGCTAAATTGTTATCTATTATTAGCTTTGTATATTGCATTTGAATATTAATTCAAGACTAAGTATATAGTACTGAATTGTTATCATTTATTTTGTATCTATCCAAAGTATAATTTTTTATAATATATATATTTGTAATAATTTTATCTTAGGTGGACACTGATTTTTTTTCAAAGTCATATATTTCAAATTATATTGTTAAAATCATATCTATTTAGTATTTATTTAAAGTACACTTTTATAATATTAGTAATTGTTTTGTAGTCACAAACTATATTTTAACCAGATACTAATTTTTTATCTACTATATACAATCTTATATTTAAAATTTTAACAATGATCTATCATATAACACAATAGAAATATACCTGTTCTTGAGATTACATAACACAAAAATTCCTTTATATGTTTTATATATTGAGATTATACATGTTTTCAAAATTGATTTTGAATTTTTGAGGTATTTTGATATTTTGAGATTTATTCAAAATTTATTTTATATATGGAAGTAAAAAAAATACCTAGTTATATGTATATTTAATCAAAGAATAAATCCGGGTAGTCAAAAAATTTCAGATTTTAAATAAAATAATTTCATCTTCTATGAAAAACTATTTTGACTTTTTTTCCTAAAATTGTAATTTCAAGATCTCAAAATAATTTTGTGTGCAAGTATAATTGAGGTATTAATTTTTGATTTAAATTTTTCTGTATACATATTGTAAGAAGTAACAAAAACTCCTTTATTTAGATATATAACTAGTTGAACGTAACTATCTTTTTCTTTCAGAAATCACTACTAAATTAAATGATATTGTCTTAGTACCTTATGTCTACTTTATTGAAAGATTTATAACAATTATATATATTCAATAATTGCTAAAGTTTTATTTTTTAATTCTTTTTTGTGCAGAGTAGTAGATATACTTATTTTAGTTTCAAAATTTTACTTATATTCTAAAAAATTGATCTCATTTATACTCTTGCATTCTTTTTTTCAGTAATTCTAATTATTTTATATTTTGAAAGTAATCTTGATTCTTTATTGCTCTAACTTTTCTTGAAATATTTTCAAATTTTGTTGTAAATAAAAGATAAATATATCTATATCAGATTCATTTTTAATGAGAAATTCTGAAGATAAAGAAATTAAGGATTCAGATATCTCTTTTTTAATTTTAGTATTGTTTGAAAATTACTTGGAATTATTTGATTGATATTGAATTAATACTATATTATTATAAGAACTCTCTTTACAAATCTCATTATTGAATGATATAGAATATCAGTTATTATAAAATACCAAAATCAGATAATACAAAAATAGTTATTAACTAATTTATTTTATCCATATATCAGAAGTTCTTATCTCAATTAAAATTATATAATACAAAAATCCTCTTGTATGATTTAAGTATCAAAGTATTAATTTTTTATTTGAATTTTTTTCCGTACTTATTGTAAGAGATAACAAAAACTCCTTATCCAAAATATTTTATTTAATTAGACTATATTATTTTGAAAAATTATACATATTCAATAAGTATCACAAATCACTTTTTTAATTTATTTTTATATGAAATGATCAGAACACCTATTTTAGTTTCAAAGGTATACTTATATTTTAAGAAGTTAACCTTACTTATACTTATATATTTTTTTTTCCAATAATTATAATTAGTTCGATATTCAAAAGCAATCTTAGTTTTTCATTGTTCTAACTATACATGTTTTCAAAATTGATTTTAGATTTTTGAGATATTTCAACTTTTTGAGATTTATACAGAATCTATTATATATATGGAAGTAAAAAAAATATCCAGTTATATTATCAGTAATTATATTAATTCGAAAACCTTCGAAATTATATCGCAACATTAGATTTCGAAGGTTATCGATTGTGTCGCAACCCTTCGAAATCGAAATTTAACGGTTAAATTTCGATACGTAATAT